ACCTACCAATGTGTCACGGCGCCAGGTGGCGCACAGCCCTTATTCTGGAGCGCTGGACTGCCTGAGGCAGGTGCTGCGGCAGGAGGGTGTCGGGGCGCTGTTCAGATCCTACAGGTGCGGGGCCGCTTGATTTCTTTAATGCGGTCTGGGGTTTTTGCGGCTGGCAGGATGCAGAGTGGGCAGAGCGGTGTTCCAAGCCAGTCCAGCATCCGGGTTCAGCATGAAACGCAGCGCCGGGCGAGTGACCAGGCGGAGCTGGCGGCAAGAGCGTGGCACGAGCAGTGCCACGTCAGCTGTCGGCAACCTGATGGCACCGGCTGCAGCCGGCATTTGTGTACAAGGGGTGCTTACACAGCCCGCAGCAGGACCAGTCAAGCCAGAGAATCAACAAACCTGGATTTGCAAATCCCAAAGCTGGGCCATGTTTTGCTCTGCTGTCCTGTCTGAGAGCGCCTCACTTGCCGACTGCGATGCCCATGCTGATTTTGCTGCCCCTCTCATGTTGTCCAACCCCCTTCTCCCTGCATTACACACGCATGCACGAGCATGGGCGTACACGCACACACACACACACACACACACACACACACACACACATACACATGAGTCATGCATGAGTGCGCGCGCGCCCACCGTGCTCCCCCACCAAACCAGGACGACCATTATCATGAACATCCCTTACACCGCCGTGCACTTCCCCATCTACGAGTCTTCCAAGAAGCTTCTCAACCACCTCCGCGCCACGTCAGCATCATCCTCGTCCCCCAACTCTCCCTCAGCAGCAGCAGCAGCAGCAGCAGCAGCAGCAGGAACAGCAGCAGCAGCAGCAGCAGCGCCAGCAGCAGCCCAGGGGTCGGAGGCAGGGCCGCTGCCTGGCTTGTCGTCCGTCGTCGCTGCGTCGCCGGAAGCGGAAGCTGCAGAGGCGGAGGAGGAGGGGCTCGCGGTGCAGGTATTGGCCGGCGGCCTGGCGGGCGGCGCGGCGGCGGCGGTGACTAATCCTCTAGACGTGGTGAAGACGCGGCTGCAGACAGAGGGAATGCACTCCTCGCGGCGCTACGCGACAAGCGCAGTGGTGGGCGCGGGGTTCAGCGCTTAGGGATCAGGGTTTGGGCCACCCTCCGGCTCACCGTAGTTCTCGGCCCCGGCCAGCGCGCGGCGGTTGCTGCATCGCGGCTGGAGGGGCGGTGGCGTGGCCTTGCTTGCAGGCACACGCGGGAGGATGCGTGTCCGGGCTCCGCGCGGCGGCGCGTGTGCCGGCTTCCCCGCTGTTGACTGCTGATGCGGGAGCCCGTCCGCCCGGATTCCTCCTAGTCCTGTGGCAGCCACGCGGCCGCAGCTGCAGGATCGCTTTTGGAGCTGAAATTGGGAAGCTTCTCTTCTTGCCCGTGCAGGTCCCAATGCTGCGCCGTATCGTGCAAGAGGAGGGGGCCGCGGCGATCTGGCGGGGCTGGCAGCCGCGGGTGCTGTTCAATGCGCCGTCGGCGGCCATCTGCTGGGGCATATACGAGTCATCCAAAGCCCTGCTGCTTCAGGACTGAGCGTGCTGTGAGGTTTGCCCTGGCCGGGCCTGTCGACGGGCGTCGTGGATCCTCGTGCCTGTGCGGGCCCGTGCTGGGGTGCGGGCGGCCGCCGGCGTGCTGGAAATGGCTGCAATGCCGTTTTGGCTGCGGGCTGGTTGTGTGGCAGCTTGGGGCCGTCGCACACCAAGCCTGCGAGCAGTCGTTCACGTTTCAAGGCAGGTGGCGTCTACACTTGCTTGCTGCAGCAGCTGTCGGCGCGAGTTTTGCGCGCCCAGCCCCTCGTGCGCATACGTTTGTCTGTGGCCGTTGTGATGCAGCCTTCGGAGCCGTTTAGGTCGTGTCTTTCTTGTGAGCAACAGCGAGAACACTTGTTGATGGTGTTCGTTTCCTGGTCCATTCTATACAGCCATCCGCTGCATTACAATCTTGTGCAGCATCCGCCTCATGTTGGCTGAACCTGCACCTTCCAGCAAATCCAATCCAACCGCTTGCACCGAGACCTGACTTGCGCCCCCCGTGCTTCGCGCCCGCTGGAAGAGCAATCGCAGCAAGCCTGGGCTCTTGTGCAGGAGCCCTGAAGCTCCACCCGGCGAATCTCTGTGCTGCCAGCATTCACCCCTCCTTGGCGAGTCTGAATCTGTAATTCTGCCTATGCTGTCCTACCTTCTATCTCAGAGCCAATCGACCCAATATTTGGTCTCGGTTTCTGATACTCATATGCGTTGCGCGTTGTCGAGTACTTTGCGGGGCACGCAGCCGTCGGCTCGCGTCGGTGCCCCCCAACCTTGCTTGTGCTGCAGACGCACAGCGGCACGCGTGCATACGCGCGCTGGCTTGCTGGCCGCGGCGTCGTCAACACACATGCAGTACTTGATACGCGCGGACGCTGGCGACGGCAACACATACAGGGGGCCCTGCGTATATGAACGCGCTCCTACCCCAAGGTCACAGCCACCCGTCAAAAAGGGGTTGTCGGTGCCACCACCATGGGCGTGCAGTCGCGGGGTGCAGCGGCCCAGGAAGCTTTCGTCCCAAGCGGTCCGCGCCTGGTGAGGTGGCGGGGTGCCTCCTCGGCACAATTGCATCATGCTCCGGGCCGCAGCCTTTTGGCCAAGAAGGCACGGCCTTTTGCACCACGCCGCGCACCGCAAGAAAGTGCTGGTTGGGGCAGGGCGCGAGCTGAGAGAGTGATGTGGGGTGTTTTGCTGCGGGCTGGCCAGCAGGTAAGGTGTGAGAAGCGATGGCATCGGCCGTGGACAGTGAAGCGGGAGTGTCAGTGCCGCCAACAACGTGCTGCTCCCTGGGCACGCCGCGCAGCTGCACACGGCTGGGGGCGGTGGCGGGGCTGCGACAAACTGCGGCCAAAAACACACACAACGCGAGCGCCGCAAGGGGCTTATGCTGCCTTAACTTGCATGTTGTACATGGCAGGGCGCCAGGGGGGCCAGGGGCCGCCGCTCAGCAGGCGCCGCGCTGCAAGCTGGGGGCCATCGCTGCAAACTTCAAAACCACATGCTGCAACCAACTCAAGCCAACCAGAGCCGGTCACCAGCCCCCTCTTGCCACAAGGGGTCGGTCCAGTGCCCAAATGGAAGGGCGATCATCACACGTGTCAGAATGATGTCAGCGCAGCTCCTCCGGCCCTCCCAGCTCAAACACGCTCATCAGGCAGACGTGGTCGCTGCCGTAGTCATGAGAGGGCAGGCCGCAGGGCAGCTGCCTCTTGTCAGGCGGCAGCAGCACCGCCACGGGGCGCACGCGCGGCGCCGCGCCCGCAGCCGCGCCCTCCGGCTCGCCGCCGTCGTGTGAGGTGCGATCGGGCGCCGGTTTGAAGCTGCCAAGCGGCTGCTCTGAGTACCAGATGAAGTCGCCTGCAATGAACACGAGGGTCGGCCGGAGGTTGTGGGTGCAGAGGAGAGGGCCAGCTGCTAGTGGGTCGAACAAGGAGGTGAGACGACAGATGCAAGCGGGTGTCCCCAGTGCTGCAGTCAGGGCTGCAAGGCAGTGAGGGAGAGCGAAGCTGCACCTTACAACCACACAATTTTGAGTTCAGGCATGGTGTGGGATTTTGTTCTATATATGACAGAGACTCTGCATCGCCAGCTTCTCACATGTGTTGTGGAACATCATGTGACTCGAGGTGAACTCTGGCTCGCAGCCTTGTGTGGGGGTCAGCAGGCGAGGTTCCAAGAGGGAGTGACGATAGCGCTTGTGGTGGTTAGGAGGGATGAAAGCTGCGGAGAGCAGAGACAGAGGGGCCTAGATGCATTCTTAATTGGCCCCCAGACAGGCCCAAGCCCGGAGAAGATGTGTGTGCTGGCCCTGTCTGCATCTCCCAACTGCAAGGGCTGAGGGCTGTGCACACTTCATGACTCACCCAACACATCCAGGTAGCTGCTGCGCAGCTTCAGGGGGTGGCGCACCACCATCGGGCGCGGCCCTGCCTCCTGCTGATGGTACTGGTCCTGGTGCTGTTCATGGCTAAATCTGGCTTCGGATTTGCCCGGCAACGGGGCAGCAAGCACAGTAGAACCCAGGGCCCTCCGCAATTGGTCCTGTGTCCACTGGGGCCCTCCGCCCTGCGACGAGGCCGATGCAGCGCCAGCGGCGGGCAAATTTGTCCCCACAATGCCAGTGGCAGCTGGAGGGGCGGCGACAGCGGCAGCGGCGGGGGCGGCAGCGGCGGCGGGGGCAGGGGCGGCGGCGGGGCCCGGCTGCGGCGCGGAGGCGGCGGCGGCCATTGCTGGGGGGTTAGCTGGCGCGGGCGCGGCCGGGGGCACGAATTGCTGTGATCCTAGGTAAGGCATCAAAGCGACGCCTCCCGCCGCAACCACTGCGCTCCTGCCGCAATATGACCCACTGCCGCTTCCACTTCCGCCACCGCTGCCGCCGCCGCAGCTGCTGCTGCTGTTGCTGCTGCTGCTGCTGCTGCTGCTGCTGCTGCTGCTGCTGCTGCTGCTGCTGCTGCTGCTGCTGCTGCTGCTGCTGCTGCTGCTTGATGGGGTATGTTGGTTGTGATGGCGCCCCTGCTGCAGCTCGCGCGGCCTCAGCGCCTCATCGCGGCCGCCTTCAGGAGCAGGCGGCAGCAGCTGCGCAGCGCGGGCCTGCTGCAGCAGGTTGTGCCGTAGCGCCGGCTGCGCTTCCTGTTGCTGCTGCTGCTGCTGCGGCTGCTGCTGCTGCCGCCGCTGTTCCTGCAGTGGCGGCGCCGACTCGCCGCCCCGCGCGTCCTCCTGCCCGCCGCCGCCCTTGTAGCCGAAGCCGCTCGTGTTATGGTGCGCGGCGCCGTTTATGGCGCGGCGGTCGATCGATGCCAGGTCGAGCTCCCCCCTGGCGCAGAACTGGTAAAGGGGAGAGCCAGGCACAGTGTTGAAGTCGCCGCAAACGACAACCCCGTGCGTGCGCGCCCTCCTCGGCCGCGCCGCGCACCAGTCCTCGCCGCGGCCGCCGCCGCCGCCGCCGCCGCCGACCTCCTCCCCGGCCGCCTCCTCGCCGCGCGGCCGCCGCGGCGCATGCCAGTGCCGGCGCGGCCGCTTCGCGCGACGACAGACAACTTCGCCGCCGGCGCCGGCGCCGCTGCCCGCATCCATACTGCTGCCGGACGCCGCCGCGCTGCATTCAAGATCAGCGGCGCAGAGCTCGTCATCCGCTCCGGCGGCCGCGGCGGCGAGGGCGGCGGCCATGGAGGCTGCGGCGACAAAGAGTGTTCTGACTTGGCCGAGTTTGATGTCCCCCGCTTCGGGGTTGAACGCGATCTGTGGGGGCGGTTGCCAGGTGGTTGAGGCAGTTGACAGGCGGGTGAGGGGCGGTTGGCAGGTGATTGAGGTGGTTGCAGGTGGTTGAGAGGCGGTCGATTGTGGTTGAGGTGGGTGGCAGGCAATCGGTGCAGGCTGAGGGGTCATCGAGGTTGGTTCATTCAGAAAGATATGCCTGATAGCGTTGTCGAGTAGCCGAGGAGGAGGGGGCCCAGGGCCACATTTGTGTGTGAACACCAGGAGTACGCCGACAAGTGCACAGCTGGCCCCACCAGACGGCCAGCGCGCACCCAGGCCCCAGCCATGAACCCTAAGGCCGGGACGCCTGCAACCGTCTGGCAGCCCGGTGGCTGGATTGGCTGGGTGCGGCGCCCCGCGCGTTTGCCGGCCCCACACCCACGTGCGTGTTGGCCACCAACAGCCCCACGTCCCCATCCAAGGCGCCGCCGCAGCCGCCGCTTCCGCTGTGGGCGCCGCCATGGCCGCTGGCATTCCTGCTGGCGCTGTTGCCGCTGCTTTCCCCGCTCCCGCGGTTGCCCCAGGCCGCCTGCGCCGCTTCGTCACGATCGCCGGAAAGGTGGCACGGTTGAGTGCCGTTCGGCCGGATTTGTCGCATCGGTATCTGCTGCAACCGGTGGTGCTGCTGCTGACGCTGCTGCTGACGCTGCTGCTGATGCTGCTGCAGACGCTGCGTTTGCACATCCGCAGCCGCACCACGCCGCCACAGGCCCCGCATGGACTCCCCCTCCGCCGCCTGCGCGCCTCCGCCGCCGCCGCTGGCCCAGCCACAGACAAACTCATCTCCAACACCAGAGCCGCGGCGGCAGTTCAAGTCGGCAGGCACGGGCGCCGCGGGCCGCGGCGGCTCGGGCTGCGCCGGGCTTAGGGCGACCAGCAAGGCGACGTTGTCCGCCAAACCATGGTCTTTGTACCGCACCCGCCGCACGTGCGTCGCGCGCAGCCGCGTGGCGCGCCAGAACGTGGCGCAGCCGTCGCGGCGCGCGCCGCTGCGGCGGGCAAAGACGGACTCGTACCTGCGTCACCCAGG